GGCCGCACCAGGGCCGGGGTGCCCGCAATGCCTGTTCCAGCTGGCTATGCCCTTCCCCCCAAACAACAATCAAAAAGAAACCCCCCACTCACCCAAAAACCTTCCACCAGCCCCCTTTGGGACCCAGACTGCCTGCCTACCTCCCCCCCTCCTTCCGAGATTTGGGGAAGGGGGGCAACTCTGCTTAGGGCTGAGCACAGTCTAGGTTGCTGGCCAGCTCTGCAGATGAACCAGGCCCTGCCGAGCCTTCAGCCCCTAGCCCACTCTTCTTACTCTCTGGAAGGACCCAGAATGGAGGAGAAAATCAAGCAGGCTTTAGGATATTCACGAGCTAAAAATGCCAGGAATTTCCTGGGAAACGCAGTTCCTTACGGGATTCATTAACACAGGTTCACTCATCATTTTGCCCCTCCCAGAAACTCCCGAGTGTCAAGGAGAGCCCCCACCTCTTAAAAAGTAAAACATTAAATGATTTTTTGGGCAGACAGCTAGGTTACCGACCATTAGTTAACCAATGAGTCTTTGGACAGTGACAGCTAAAGGGGTTGTCTCTAGTCTCAGAAATCATTGATTTTTCTCTTCCTACATTTGAGGCATAATCTAAGGCCTATTTTCCTTCTCCAAAATATATAGCGAATGCTCATAACTACCTCACTGCAGCCTGCAGTCCTAACAGCTGTAGGAAAGCTAAGGCCTATCTCCAGAGGACCCCCTGCCAATGTCCCTACCCCCTACCCATCACCTTCTACAGGGGGCTCAGAAGGTACAGACCTGACAGCCCTAATCCTGACTTTCTCAAGCGTGGATTGCTGCCTCCATCCTGAGAAGAGTATGCCTATCCCATCAATGGGTTCCATTCCCACTGAACATACTGCACCCCCCCAAGTAAGGAGATTCGTCTCCCTCACTCTTAGCCCTGGAAACAGCTGAGTACATGGTTGCCCAAGCTTCCTGGAAAAGAGAGGGGTGAAAATAGTACTAATGATCAAGAAACCCAGACCAGTCCAAGGTATAAGCCTTGTCAACACCTGAGCCTTCAAAGCCCTAATATTTCCCTTTGCAACATCCTGGGCAAACCTGCCTGCTAGGTATCCACAGCTTTCTTTTTCTCTTAGCAAGGGCCCCATTCTACCCAGCATTAGTTACTTCAGCTCTAGGCTGACGTTTGCTACTCCTATTCAAGAGATAACAAGGCAAAAAGCACCCTGGCTACCAAAGAGCAAACTGAGGTAATCTTGTGAGCCAGCTCTAGAATCACTCACCTGGCCAGTGGTCCTGGACATGACTTCCTAATGGGGAAGCCCACTAAGAGGTAGAAATCCAGGCTTTGGGCACCATAAAGAACTTCCCCTTAGTTTGGGGGGCATCCTCCAGTATCACATAGTTCCCTTTCAATGCTGATTTTCCTGCACTCCCTCTCCTGTCGGGAAGGGGACGTAGGAACTATAAGCGCACTTCGAGCCACACAGAAAAACGTATGAAGAAGCGGAGGCTTCTCAGGACTCCCATAGTAGCGATCAGGACCCTGGATAGACCCCAGCCCCAAACGGACGCAAACGCTGAGTGGCAGGGTCTCCTTACAGAACCCAGCGGAGCAGGGGCATTTTGGTATCACTTGTAAGCTGAGGGTAAGATCTGGTGAAGTCCGAGCTAGAAGAGTCGCTGCTCTTCCTCAAGTGTTTATCCTGCGCTATACCAAGCTCTTGCCCCCTCAGAAGAGCGCAAGGCAGCAACAAAGCCAATAGGATTGCGATGAGGGGGCACGCGCCAACCCGCCAGCCTTCTTCCGTGCTAATGGTCACTTTCCCAGGGCAGAAAACTAGGGCTTTAAGCCGTCAGCCTTCTTGGACCACCTTTGGAGTCTAAATTTCTTGCCCTGTCCCAAATGATTATGTTCAGAGGTTCTGAAGCAATTTTAGTTTGGGAATGTTCTGATTTTCTGAAAAACTGTATCCAGGAACCGAGTTCTTAGTTCCCCAGTACAGAAGTAACTGATGACGTTTCTAGACAAAACATAAGTTAAATATCATTTGGACGATTAAAATGGGAATATTAAGCTCAAATAATCAAACAACTGAAACCTGGGTCTCTGCATAAATATGTACTTACTTATTTTATGCTATTTATTCTACATGTATATATATAAAATTTTTGCTATTATAAACCAGCTTCCCACCTACTTTTTAAATGTATCTAAAAAAGCAAATGAGAGTAATGCCTTTTCCAAAACAATTCAATGAAAAATTTGATATTTAGTACATTTTTTCAATGCTCAAACAAGAGTTAATTGTAGGATAAGCCTGTAAATCTGGACTTTTGGTCAGATTGGGAGGGTGGTGAAAGGTAGTTTTTCTTAGGTTATAGAATACAGTAGCCTTAAAAAGATAATCTAAGAAGAATGACTCAGGGAAAGTCTTAAAACAAAAAGTTTGAACCTTAAGTAGAATTTCAAAGTCAGATTTGCATCCTAACATTGAAAATCCATTAGAAAATTTGTGGATTTAAAATGACCTCTAACCATTGGTTAACTACCTAAACAATATACTAACTTGGTAAATGAAAAGCCAGTTTTAGTGTCTAGCTGTTTAAATATGTAATTTTAAAATAAGTAGTTGTAAGATTAAATTTAAAATTTCAATGCAATGTAGGAAATAGAAAGAAAAACGAAATATATTATATTAATATGCAACAAAATGTGTTAATGAAAAAATCATAAAATATTCCCTTTTTCAAAGTATGCTTACATTAAAAAATGATAAATGTCTCTAGATTTCTTGTGCTTTTAGTAACACTAACACACATTTTGAAGAGAATAGATTGCTTTATTTTTAATCCCATCATCTGTCTTTAACAAACTCTTACCAACAAAAAATGGTTTGCAAGTGAAACAGACATTAGGCAAAACCAAAAAGAAAAAAGCCTCAATTTCCCGCAGCCTGAACTATGGGTGATTCTGAAATAACCTAATTCAGCTTTGCCTTTTAAAAGTAAAAATTAGCACACGCATTTATAAAATAAACTTGGAGACAGGGGATCTTCTTCTGGGTAATAAGCCCTTTTGAAACAATATACGATTAAATTTCACAAAATCACAATTTCTAAAATAAAAGAGAACAAGAACACTAAAACATGTTTTCAAGTGCTGCTTAGGTTAAATGCCTGTCTTAAACTAGACAATTATCTTCAATATCCAAATCATTAAAACTGGAATGTTGTGCTGCAAGTGTTCAAAGTGGAGAAATTACCACTTCTCATGGCTATCTACCAGAAAAATTATGGGAGACTCTCAAGTAGATCTTAACATTTAATGACAACAACAAAGGCTAATAGTAATATTATTTCACCAACCATTTTAAAAAATGCGCATCCCCTTTCTATAGCTCCTCTGAACTTCAATATTATGCCTCTTCAATGCTATTTTAATGCGTAGGGTTAAAGATATAAATTTAAAATTTAAAATCTAAGAGAACAATCCATGTAATAAAATCTTCGCCTTTCACAAAACGTTTTCATTTTAAGAATGCTCAGAAGAGTTAAGTAAACGTACCACACATTCTAAATTAGACAAAAATTTTCAGAAAACTGACATTTTATGTACCCAACAGGTCCAAACAGAACCAATGCAAAGGTCAATAGCTCTCTCTCTTCCGGAAGATACTTAAATGGTTTTACTAGTACCCAAAGGAATGAAATCAGCAACTCCCTCCACACACTAATCAACACTCCAATTTTCAAAGCCGAAATTTGAAAACGTCCGTTTGGGAGGGAAACAGTGGGGGGGTCTTGAAGTAATAAAAAAAAAATCCCCTTTCTTCTCTGACAGTCTACCCAAAGCTGTCAAACCCAATTTAGCCTATTGTAAAGCACTAGAACCTCCCTTCCAAGGACGCGAGACACAAACACAGATACCGCTGCAAAAAGCTGCCCCAAAGCGCCTGGTCGGACAGAAACGTAAGGGGCCCAAATAAGAACGAATTAGAACCCTCAAGAGGGTCTGCAGAGACAGCGAGATTAAGGTGGCATTTATTCAGTGGTAGACAACGAACCAAAGAAAGTTGTCCCAGTCGGACTCTTGGGCCTTTCTCTATCCAAGTTCAGGTTCAAGGTAGATAGATCTGCGGGGGTGGGCGGTCCCTGGGTCCTTTCCCCTACACACATCTCACCCGCCTCTGGAGCCCACTGTTGCTCAAAGCGAAGCCCCTCCGGCTTCACAACCATTCCTTTGGCCCCCATCAAAGGCAGAGGAGGCTGTTGAGCTGACCTAGCTCTGTGGGGCAGCAAAAATGCCTTGCGCGGGCCACCCATCCTTGGGCCTGGCTTCATCTGCGATGTCAGCATGAATGTTATTATTTTTCATTTTTACAACGAATCCTGGGCGGGTGTATGTATTACGGGGGGAGGGGGGAGGGAAGGGGGGAGGTTGAACACAGGAGAGGAGGGGTTGGTAGCGGAGCCTAGAACCCTCCTTCCCCTCCCCTTCTGCCAGGGTTGCTGTGCAGGGAGTGCCGGCCACGTTTGGCGCACTGTCCCAGGCCCCGGGCGAAGGTGGCCAGGGAAAATAGGGCTTAGGGATTGCTAAGCAAACGGGCACCACTGGTGGTCTCCAGTGCCTGCGGAGGTAGGATTGTTTTCTTTCTTTAAGGGGCGTGTTATTTTGTTCTTTTTTGGAGGTGTTCATTCTTGCGCGACGGGGGAGGAGGGGGGGGGCTTTGCTGCACTGCCAGGGTC